CCCGTGAAGCTCGACGTGATTTGGTTGCTTATCGGCACTCAGCCATCGTTTCAACCGGAGCTGTTCCAACAGCGGAAGATCTTCAAGTAGACGTCTCCACAACGCCTCATCCGATTGAGGCAGTGGGGAGTCCCAATCCAAGTGCTTCATCCAAGCTGACTGGATGAGGATTTTGGCACGAGCGATGACTGGAGTTAACCAGCCTAGGGGGTCGAAAATTCAAGTCGTTTCCGACAATGCCTGTCTCTTCGTCAACGGGGCAGTCGTGCGAGGCTGGAGGCGAAACGTGAAGGAGCCGCTGCGGAGGTACCACCGTAGACCAAGCGTCGGATGAACTTCGTCCTCCCAGTCGGTGTGGCTGCTGGAGTTGATGCTCCCTTGGTATCTCCTCAAGGATGCTTTTGTGGTTTGAGACCCACTTCCTCAAGGGGAACCCGCCCGCCGTGCAGAGCCGGCCTTTGTGTCTCGACTGCTTCTTACTGGGTGCTGGCGCCTGTGAGATGTCCTAACGATGTCGACGTAACAATCGCGCCGTAAAGCGACTGCTCCCTTGGGGTTTGCCGGCTCTTCATCGTCGGCTAATTGGCGGAGAGTTCTGATTGCCAGGAAAGGTGTACAGGCCAATCCGTATGTCACCATGTTGAGCCGATACTCCTGAACGTCGTCAGTGCCTTGTCGTCTCCAAAGGATCCGCTGCAAATCTCGATCGTCGGGGTGTACGAGAATCTGCCTGTACATCTTCTCGATGTCAGCGATGAAGACAAAGCGGTGCCAACGCCAACGAAGAAGGATGTTCGCGAGCGGATCCGGCAAGAGATTGCGCGAACGTTGAAGGATAGGCCAGTGCAGTGAAACTCGTGATATTCACACAAAACAATAGTTTATTAGAGTTCAACGATGACCGTGACAAGTGTACAGAGCAACGAGCGGTGCGACAAGCGAAGCGGTTAAACTCGCGGGAGATCGCGAGCGGCGTGACAGATCGAGCGTGCGGGAAATCAAAGTCCGAGAAGAATAGCGGTTGTCGTATAATATTTGCGGTTTGACTGAGCGGTAAGGTTAAGCGGTATAGTAAGCGAAAAGTGCGAGACTTCAATTGAGTCTACGTGCGGAGCTACTTATATCGTGAGCGGGATTTTGGGCCCGCTGGGACGTGGCCCAATTAATTTGTAAATTGGCGGTGACCTCAGGGGGCCGCACGTTATTAGCCGCCGATGAGGTCAGGGGCCAAGTTTTTACAGTTGCCATGCGCACGCTCCTATTCGATCAGCTGATTGGCGCGCAGCTGATCGTGACGTGCGGGCGCGCATGCCCGTATGTTGCTTTAGTTTTGACGGCGGTTGACGATGTTATTGTCAATCGCTTAATTTCAAGCGTTTTTATGCGGTGCAAAAACGAGCGGTGACTCGAACGTTCGAGTTTTGTTTACCGAACGAAGGCTCGAGAAAGTTCTCGATGCCCGTTAGATTTGAAATACGGATTTTAGCAACGCGAAATTTTACATTGAGATAATCGATTACGCATTTCGAACATCCCGCCCGCCTCGTCAGCGCGTGACGAAATTCGCGAGTAGGAACGGGGACGGACAGATGTCGCAAGCGGTCCAATTGGCGGTGTCTGGATCGCGATCGATGAATGGAATGTGTGACGCAATACGATAACACGTGTTGTTCAGTCGATTTCTATCTTTCGCGAGACTAAGAGTTGCGGTAGTGAAATACGGTGATATTTACAGTGAAATAATGAAAAGTAGTGCGATGTGAAGTGCAATGATTAATAGGGATCAATTGTGCATCGCTCGGGGATGCACAATGTACAGTGAGTGGGTGACTAGGGATACGCGAATAAGGAAATCGCGGCGAGAACGCGAGATGGGCGACGGACAGCTGTAATGAAAAATATATACACGATATATACAATATGTACAATATAGTGAGGCGCGCAAGACTCTACGCATCGCGGGGAGAATAGTGCCCGAGCATTATTCGTCTACGGACGCGCGAGCCTCCTTGACTCCCGGTAAAAGGACGAGTTTTACGACTGGCCGAACGAGATCCGAGGTGGAGGTGCGGACAGTCACAACGCGGACCGTGCCATCGCTTCCTGGATGCAGCGCGAGTATTCGCGCGAGGGGCCATCGGGAAGGCGGGGTGATCTCCGAGCGGATGAGGCACAATGCTTCGACCTCCGGAGCGGGCTCGGATTTGAGCCATTTTGATCGAGGTGCCAAGGCGTGGACATACTCCTGAGACCATCGCTGCCAGAAGTGGTCACGCATTCGTTGCAGCAGCTGCCACCGGGATAGGGCGTTCGGAGGCCGTTCGGCTAGTGAAGGCTCTGGGACCGCCAGTAGAGGGGCGCCTATTAGGAGATGCCCAGGAGTCAATGCGGTGATGTCGTCGGAGTCATCTGAGAAAGCCTGCAATGGACGAGAATTTAAACATGCTTCGATTTGTGAAAGAAGAGTACTCATCTCCTCGAAGGTGAGCGTAGTCTCTCCTATCACCCGTCGCAGGTGATGTTTCATGGATTTCACCGCCGCTTCCCAGAGGCCTCCGAAGTGCGGCGTGGCGGGGGGATTGAAGCGCCAGGATATCCCTTCCTTGGCGACTTCCCGAGAGAGGCGGCGGCCGTCGGAAGACGACGCGCGGAAGAATTCTCGGAGTTGGTTGTCCGCCCCGATGAAGTTAGTTCCGCAGTCCGAGTACATTTCCTCGCACAGTCCGCGACGGGAAACGAACCTGCGGAATGCTGCGAGGAAGGCGTCAGAGGAGTAGTCAGATACTACCTCAAGATGAACGGCTCTGGAACAGAGGCAGACAAACACGGCTATGAACGCCTTGTGAGCTCGATGTCCTCGCCCCTTGGAAGTGCGGAGGAATATCGGGCCAGCGTAATCGACTCCTGTCCTCAGGAAAGGGCGTGCTGGAGTGACTCGCCCCCGAGGGAGGTCGGCCATGAGGGGCCGTGGGGTGTGGGCTCGCCAGCGGGTGCATGTCACGCACCGGTACAGTGTCCGCTTGATTACGGCTCGACCTTGCGGCACCCAGAAGCGGAGGCGAAGGAGCCCCAAAGTGAGCTGAGTGCTTCCATGAAGCGTCCGGCGGTGGCAAGACTCTATCACGAGCTTGGTGAGCCATGAAGTGGGCGGCGCTATCATAGGATGTCGTTCATCGTAAGTGAGTATTGCGTGTTTCAGGCGGCCGCCGACGCGCAGGATCCCGTCGTCGTCGATGAATGGATGCAGCCTGGCCAAGTGGCTACCGCGAGGCACTGGGCGAGACTCTCGCACGGCGGCTAGTTCAACGGCGTAGTGGATCCCTTGGACGATTCTCAGCCAGCGAATGAGGGAGGCGTCGAGCTCGTCCGAGAGCAGTGCGACGCTGGGAGAATGACAAGCGGTCCGGCGCCAACGAAGACACCAAGCAGAGACACGTAAGAGCCTATGCAGTGTCGAGAACTGTAGGAGTATTTCAGGCTCCGGTCTGACCTTGCTGATGGCCGTTAATACCGTGGTTTTTGTTTCAGGGACGCTGACCAGTGATGCCTCGTCGCTGGCTGGCCATAGTGACGAGTCGCCGAGAAGCCAGCTGGGGCCCTCCCACCATAGGGGGTGGTTCAGCAGATCCCTCGGAGCGATCCCTCTGGAAGCACAATCGGCAGGATTCTCTTGACCCGGGACGTGTCGCCACTGCGCTTCGGGGAGCCGGTCCTGGATCAGCGACACTCTGTTGGCCACGTAGGTTTTCCACCGCGAAGCATGATCCTTGATCCAGTGGAGGATAACCTTGGAGTCGGACCAGAGATATACTGGCGCCGACACCTCCAGTGATGACCGGAGGTGGTGCACGAGATTGGTCAGCAAGGAGGCAGCGCAGAGTTCCAGCCGTGGGAGCGTCACGGGCTTAATCGGCGCGACCTTGCTTTTCGCGGCCAGTAAGTGGATAGACGTTTCCTCCGTACTGGACACGCGAAGGTAGACGACGGCCGCGTATCCACGCTCAGACGCGTCGGCGAAGCCGTGGATCTCGACCGTCGGATCCTGTTGATGACACCCAGCCAGCGCCTTATTCGGAGGCGCTCCAGCAAGTGGAGCTCGGAGAGGAGGCGCTGCCAAGACTGAGCGTCCTCCGCTGGGAGCGGAGAGTCCCAGTCCAGCCTTTTCAACCATGCTGACTGGATTAAGATCTTGGCGCGGATGATCACAGGAGCGAGCCATCCCAAGGGGTCGAATAGCCGTGCCGTTTCCGCCAGGACTCGCCTCTTAGTGAATTCGCCAGTGCTTCGAGGCTGGATGGCGAAGGAGAAGTCGTCGCTGGCTGGATGCCAACGCAGGCCTAAGGTGGAGTGTATCTCGCTCTCCCAGGAATGGTGTGCCTGTTTGAGTCGATGATCGGGAGGAACACCCTCAAGGATGGCCTCGCTATTGGCGGCCCATTTCCGCAGCGGAAACCCGCCTGCCGTGCAGAGCTCTCGGAGCTCCGTCTGCAGGGCGACCGCGTGCTGCAAGGTGTCCGACCCGGTGATCACGTCGTCCATGTAGCAGTCATGGCGCAGAGCGGTTGCTCCCTTTGGGGCTCGTGCCTCTTCGTCGGCCGCCAATTGGTGGAGAGTGCGGACAGCGAGGAACGGAGCACAGGCGAGCCCGTAGGTCACGGTGTTCAGCTCGTACTCTTGGATCTTGCCGGAAGCCTTTGGACGCCAGAGTATCCGCTGGAAGCGACGATCTTCAGGGTGGACGAGTATCTGCCGGAACATCTTCTCGATGTCGGTGACGAACACGAAGCGGTGCCGGCGCCAGCGAAGGAGGACATCAGCTAGTGCCGGCAGTAAGTTGGCGCCGATCAGCAGATGTCGGTTGAGGGAGTCCCCCGAGGCGATACGTTGCGACCCGTTGAAGACGACGCGGAGCTTGCTGCAGGAGTTGGACTGGCGGAGGACTCCGTGGTAAGGTAGGTAGCATCCTGCGGTACCGACCGTATTCACAGGACTCATGTGTTTCAGGTCCTCGTACTCCTGCATAAACTCCCGATACCGGACGCCGAACTCAGGATCTCTCTTGCTCCGAAGGTCCATCGCTGACAAGAGCTTTCAGCCGGTTTACGGGTTCCACCAAGCGACGTTGGCGGGGAAGAAAACGGGAGTCGTACTACGTATCTTCCGGACGCAGTTCGCTGGTGAGTACTTATGAAGAGGGTCTCGCACTCTTGATCCTCTGGTGTAAGGGCAACAGAGGAGGGGAGTTCCCTTTTTTGTTCCCAAAAACTGTGCACAAGCTGATTGAGCTCTTGGTCGACAGTGCACTGCAAGGAGTTACGGAGTCTTTGGAAGGGTGCGGCGCTGGACCCCCCTGACAGGATCCATCCCAGGGCTGTTTTCTGGGCGACGGGATCTTGAGGACCACCCTTGCGAAGGCCGACCTCCAGGATGGTTGAGCAGACTTCCACGCCCAACAATAGTTCTACCGGATCGAGCTCCTGATACCTGGGGTCGGCGAGCTCAAGACCATGAACGTGAGGCCAGGAGGGGAGGTTCTTCACCGAAGAACCCTGATAGGCCGACAGGCGCGGTAACACGAAGGCGACGGCCTTGAGTTTGGCCCCGGTGATCATCGAGGAGAGACTGAGTGCCACTCTCCCGCGGGTTGCCCCGGATCGCGATTCGCCGATGCCGATTATGGACACTGAGGAGCGGGAGTGGGAAAGTCTCAGCCGTTGGACCAGTGCTTCGGAGATGATCGACACCTCGGATCCTTGATCGAGCATCGCTCGGACCGGATGAAGATCCCCGGCGCGGTCAGTGAGGTGCACGCGAGCTGTCGCGAGGAGGATCGCCTTACGCTCAGACGAGGAGTGCATCGCAGACAGGGCGTTCACCTCGTTGGAGGAGGGCGAAGTGTACGCGTCGTGCAGCGTAGTGTGGTGCTTGCTCTTGTACGTCAGACAGGTCTTCACAGACTGGCACTTGGAGATCATGTGGTTCCCGAGACAGTTGTAGCACAGTCTACCTTGCTCTACAAAGGACTTTCGGTCTATCGCGGACTTCGCCTTGAAGTCGTTACACTGCATGAGGGTGTGCTTCCCCTGGCACAGTGCGCACTTCAAGTGGTCGGATCCGGTCTTCGTGTGGTGAGCTTTCGCGGTTCGAGACGCGCCATCGGAGTTTGGTTGCGATACTCGCGGCCTAGCGGCGTTTAGCGTGAGAATGCGCTTAGCGATGAAGTTGACGAGAGCAGCGTGGTCTGGCGGATCAGTGGAGTCGCAGGTCGAGGACTCCCATTCCATCCGTGTACGCGAATCGAACAATTCGACGGTGAGGAAATTGAGGAGATCCATACCGTGGGAGTTGATGGGTCTCCCTATACTCTCCTGCGCGTTCACCGCGGTCGTTACGGCGTTGTGAATGCGACCGAGTTCTCCCGCTGACTCGCACTTCATTTTGGGAACGGAGGTGAACGCGGCGAAATTAGAACGGATAAGCTCCTTCTTGTTCTCGAAGTGCTTGCACAAAATCGTCCAAGCGCGATGGTAATTATCACCGGTCACCGTTAATGATTTTATCAATTTTTCAGCGGCTCCCTTGACACAAGACCGGAGGTAGTGAAATCGCTCGATGTCGGAGACTGACGCATTCGCCCCGATGACTGATTGGAAGAGGTCGCGGAATGATGGCCATTCTTCGTAAGATCCCGCAAACGTCGGAAGCATGATGCGCGGCAACGAGGTTTTAGGAGCCCGGTCGTGGTCTGACTCACCTCTGAGTGCGGCGGGCGTCTCGCCCTCAAGCTTCTCAGCGTAGCTGGTCAGCATGCTACGTTGTGTCACGTAAGTATTCTCCGCGACTTCAATAAAATCAGATACAGCGTACTCACTCTCCTGATACTTGTCCTTCAGCGCCGCACGAATGAGCTCATGCTGGGTCTTCATTTTTTGCCAGAGATTGTCCAGGATGCCGAGGCGAGCTTGGATGGCGTTGCGGGTGATGTTGCTCACGCCCATCTTCCTCAGATTGTCCACGGCGCGGGAGATCCGACCATGAATGTCGTGCTGCGCTTCCAGCAGCACCCTCACTTCAGCACTCATGTCTAATATTCCTTTGTCTTTTCAGAGGTCACTTTACTCCACAAACTGCACGAGGGGATCACTCACGAAACAGCGGACGCGGATGATGGTAATATCCGGCTCGAAGGACCAGAAATGTTTGCGAGCGGATCCGGCAAGAGATTGCGCGAACGTTGAAGGATAGGCCAGTGCAGTGAAACTCGTGATATTCACACAAAACAATAGTTTATTAGAGTTCAACGATGACCGTGACAAGTGTACAGAGCAACGAGCGGTGCGACAAGCGAAGCGGTTAAACTCGCGGGAGATCGCGAGCGGCGTGACAGATCGAGCGTGCGGGAAATCAAAGTCCGAGAAGAATAGCGGTTGTCGTATAATATTTGCGGTTTGACTGAGCGGTAAGGTTAAGCGGTATAGTAAGCGAAAAGTGCGAGACTTCAATTGAGTCTACGTGCGGAGCTACTTATATCGTGAGCGGGATTTTGGGCCCGCTGGGACGTGGCCCAATTAATTTGTAAATTGGCGGTGACCTCAGGGGGCCGCACGTTATTAGCCGCCGATGAGGTCAGGGGCCAAGTTTTTACAGTTGCCATGCGCACGCTCCTATTCGATCAGCTGATTGGCGCGCAGCTGATCGTGACGTGCGGGCGCGCATGCCCGTATGTTGCTTTAGTTTTGACGGCGGTTGACGATGTTATTGTCAATCGCTTAATTTCAAGCGTTTTTATGCGGTGCAAAAACGAGCGGTGACTCGAACGTTCGAGTTTTGTTTACCGAACGAAGGCTCGAGAAAGTTCTCGATGCCCGTTAGATTTGAAATACGGATTTTAGCAACGCGAAATTTTACATTGAGATAATCGATTACGCATTTCGAACAAAGGACGTCGGCGAGAGTTGGCAGGAGATTGGCTCCGATCAGTAAAGTGTTGTTGAGCGAGTCTCCGGCAGGCGTACATTGGGATCCGTTGAAGACGACTCTCACTTGGTGATCGTGCTGAAAATCCGGAGCACACCGTGATGCGGTAAGTAGCACACGGAATTATTTTTGATAAGCGGTGTTTTGACCAAGGTCATGTGTTTTAGGTCCGTATCCTCTTTCATGAAGTTGCAGTAGAGCTGGTTGAAGTTGACGTCTCTGGAACGACGTCGCTCCATTGCCGTGAGAAGTCGCTCGGCGGACGTTCGCGTGTGATCGAGAGATGGAAGAGGGCCAGCCAGCAGTCGCACCGTGTATCTTCCGTCTGCGTGGCGCTTGTGAGTGCGAGCGAAGATCTCCTCCCATCGTTCTTCGTTTGACGTGAGGGCAAGGCAGGCTGTTTCCGTTTTTCCTCCCAGAACCTTTGAACCAGAGCGTTCAAATCATGGTCGATAGCACACTGGAGCTGAGGGAGCCATTGGACGTCACGACTCCGCAGGCTCCTGACAATATCCACCCGAACATGGTCCTCTGCGCGATGGGTTGATCCTTGCGACCCTTGCGGAGACCATCGAGGAGAATGATGGAGAAGGCATCGGCGCCGAGGAGAAGGTGGATGGAGTCTTGTTGCAGATATTGCGGATCTGCCAAAGTGAGGCCGTGAATGTGCGGCCACGTGGTGGAGGTCCCTGATAGGAAGACAGTGGAAGAACGTATGCAGCTACGGTGAGGGGGGCTCCAGTCACCCTTGACTTCAGGGCGAGTGTTACCCTTCCGCGGGTGGATCCTAAGTGTGTTCCTCCAACTCCGATTACGGACATCGAGCAGCGGGTGCGTGCCAAGTGGAGGCGCTGTGCTAAATCCTCCAAGATGAGAGACACCTCGGATCCCTGGTCAAGCAGGGCTCGCACGTCTTGAGGTCGTCCCAGATGGTCGGTGAGAGTGACGCGCGCGGTGGCGAGAAGAGTCGCCTTTTTATCGTGTGAAGTGTGTGTCGTGGAAAAAGTGCTCGCTTCGTGTGTCGATGTTGGTGTCGCGTACGCGTTGTGCAACAGTGTGTGGTGCAGCGATTTGCACGTGAAACACGTTTTGATGGGTTGACACTTCGCCATCAAGTGGTTCCCGAGACAGTTGAAACAAAGTCCGCTAGCCTCGACGAATGACTTTCTTTTGCTCGCGGACTTGGACTTGAACTCGGGGCACTGCATCAATGTGTGTTTGCCCTTGCAAGCGGCGCATTTGGACGCGTCAGGCCCGTTCTTCACGAAGTGAGACTTCGCGGTCCGAGAGGTTTCCCCAGCACTCTTCGTGGCGATCTTAGGTTTCGCGACGTTCAAGGTAAGAATTCTTTTGCTAATAAAATCAGTGAGTGCCTCGTGAGTTGGCGGATCGGGAGAGTCGCTTGTGGAAGATTCCCACTCGAGGCGTATTCGCGAGTCGAACAATTCAATCACCAAGTGATTGAGGAGATCCATCCCACGCGAATTGATGGGTTTTCCAATGCTCTCCTGCGCATTGACGGTGACCGTGACAGCGTGGTGGACGCGACTTAGCTCTTCGGCGGACTCGGACTTTATTTTTCCGACGGCAGTAAAGGTAGAAAAATTTGATCGCATGAGTTCCTTTTTGTTTTCAAAGTGTTTTGCCAAGATCGTCCACGCGGTCGTAATTCTCGCTTGTTATCGTTAATGATCGGATTAATTTTTCCGCAGATCCTTTAACGCAGAAGTGAAGGTAATGAAACCGCTCAATGTTCGAGATCGACGGATTCTCTTCTACGAGGGATAAAAAAAGGTCCCGAAAAGAAGGCCAGTCTTCGTAAGTGCCCGAAAACGGCGGCAGTTTTATACGCGGCAACGCGGTTTTTGGAGAAGATTCCGACTTCGGCTCGATTTTGGGTGCGGTAACTGACTCCGCCTTTAGTCTATCAGCGTAGTCGGTAAACGTGCTTCGCTGAGACATGTAAGTATATTCCGCAGTATCGATAAAATCAGCTTTGGCGTACTCACTCTCCAAGTATCTATCTTTAAGAGCCGCTCGTATCAGTTCGTGTTGAGCCTCGAATTTCGCCCAGAGGTTGTCGAGGATGGTGAGGCGAGCCTGGATGGAACCGGTGGTGATATTGGTGACCCCCATCTTGCGGAGGTTGTCCACGGAGCGAGACATTCGTCCGTGGATGTCGGTTTGAGCCTCTAACAAAACCTTCAGGTCGACACTCATTGTGACTGATCTTCTTTATCTGTCTGTTCAGGAACTTGCAGCACTGGAAACGTCACTCACGAAGTTGCGGATGCGGATGAAGATCCGGCTCGAAGGACCAGAAAATGTTCGCGAATGAATACGTTTGTGCGGGAGGCGCGACACGAAGAATCTGTTCTAAGGGCACCACAAGATTGAAGAAAACGACGAACCACGACACGTATATTTTTTTGTGATTTTTAATAGTTTTGTTTTTAACGCCACACAATTAAATACTAAAGTTTAATACAAAAGAATATGTACACTTATTTTATGAACTGAAATAATGCCGAAGTCGAGATAAGTCCGAGATTTCGAAAGTACGAGTGAGTAAGCGGTCGTATAATAGAGCAAAGGCGGTTAAACAAAGCGGTTTTAGCGAAGCGGTTTTACAGTAAGAACGGTTTAGCGAAAAATGCGAGACTTCTTCGGGTCCACGCGCGGTGCCCATTATATAGCGAGCGGATTTTTGGGCCCGTTGCGACGTGGACCAATTAATTTAATGTTTTAGCGGTGACCTCAGCGTGCCGCGTATAATTGATTGTTGATGAGGTCTGACGTCGAAAATTGTTTATCTGTCATGCGCGCAATCTTTTTAGATCAGCTGATTGGCGATCAGCTGATCATGATGCATGGACGCGCATGCCCGTAAGCTGCGTAGATTTTGACGACAGTTGACAACAATATTATTAGCGGTGATGATGAGTGTTTTTCGGGTGGCAAAAAAAAGAGAGATAACTCGAACGGTCGAGTTTTTCTGGTAAATAGATATTTCGAGAAGATTCTCGACGCCCGTTAATTTTAAATTTTCGAACTTTTGATAGCGAAAAAATGCGAATTTTGTTATGCGAACTTTAATTCGGAATAATGATTTTAAATTTCGAACACTTCTCCACCTATTCTCTTCCCAACCCTTCTTCAGATATCTTGGAATTCCGTCTCCCTTAACCTCCTTATACCATCTATTATATTTGGAATCTTTCATTTTTTCCCGTCTTTTCCTTCTTTGTCTATCTTTTTCCCTACTCTCTATTTCCTCAACCTAAGTTTCTTCTTCTTCTCTTTTCTTCTTTATCTGATCTATCCTCATTCCCCTGCTCCCGATGAATTCCTTTCTTTCTTCCTCCCATCTCGATTTAGTTTTCCCCTCCCTATATCTTTCCTTCATCTCTTCCCAACATTTCCTCGCCAATTCTTCCTTTCCCTTCATTTAATTTCTTTTCGAACGCCATAGCCCTTCTCTCTGCCCTACTCCACAATTTATCCTTTTGCAATTCCTCCCTTACTAAATACCCCGGTGTCTTTCCCTCAATCCCCAACACCCACCTCAAATACCTTTCTTCCAGCCTTTCCATCTTTTCCCTTTCAATCCATCCCCTTATTTTCGCTCCATATTCCAATATCGTCTACACCAGTCTATCAAATATCCAGGGTCTTCTTCCCTAGTCTCTCCCAAACCTCCTTTTCCCAATTCCCCATACCTGTCCCGCCGCCGCTTTCCTGACCCTTTCCTTAACATGCGACTCCTGCGCATCATTCTTTGTAGTATATACTCCATGTACCGGAATTCCCTTCTACCTCTTTTACCTCTCTTCCCTTCCACAGCCATTTCCTTCTCCCCACTCTTCCATCTCCTTTCCTAAATCTCATTATTTTTGTCTTTCCGGTATTCAATTCCAACCCCTTCCTATCTAAATATCCTTCTAGCCTCCCCCTCATACTCCTCATCTCGTCTTCCTCCTCCGCCATTAAAACTATATCGTCCGCGTATCCTATACACCTCCCCTCCCATAGTTTCGCTCCTCCCCATCTTATTTTCCCCATTTTTTCCTTCAAGTCTACCAATAATACATTAAATAAAATTGGGCTCAAAGGACATCCTTGCCTTATCCCCCTTACCGTCCAAAAACTTTTCTCAATTTCCCTTCCTACCCTCACCCTGCTCGTCTATCTTACTCACTCCTTTACTCTCCTTACCAGCCCATCTCTTACACTCCTCTCTCTCAACGTCTCTATTAGAACTTCCCTATCCACCGAATCAAACGCTGCCTTCATGTCAACAAACAGCGCTACCATTTTTCCCCCCTTCCGATTCAGCTGTCTGTTTATAAGCATATTTAGTATGTATATGTTGTCCCCATTCCTTTCCTGAAGCCCGTTTGGTTTGGTGAAATAATTCCCTTACCCTCCACCTCCTCCCTTAACCTCTCCGTTGCATATATTGCAACTCTCGGTTGCATAAATACCGTTGCATATATTTTATATAAGTTGACATTAAGGAGTAATCTTCCTATAATCCTCAACTTTCTCTCCCTCTCCCTTTTTCAAAATCGGAACAATCATTCCTTCCCTCCACTCCTGAGGCCACCTCTCCCCTTTCCATATCCTATTACAATATCCCCATACCCATTCTTCCAGTTCCTCCCACCCATGCTTCCACACTTCCCCGGAATTCCATCTAATTCCACTGCCTTCCCTTCCTTTATGTTGCTCCTCACCTATCTAAATTCCTCTCTACTTATCTCTTCTTCCCTATTCTCCTCCCCCCTCTCCCTCCCGCTTCCCCTCACTACTCTCTATCTCTACTCCTCCCAATAATCTCATAAAATGTTCCCTCCATTCATTCATTCCTATTCCTTCATTTATTTTCCGTCTTCTCTTCCTTTCATTATCAATTATTTCCCACACCTCACTTTCCCTCGTAGCTCCACTTTCTCGGCTCTCCTTTCCCATCTCTCGTTTTCTTCTTTCCTTTTCCTCTCACACATCTCCTTGTATTCTTTTTTCTCCCTCCTATAATCCTCCTTCTCTCCTTCTTTCTCCCTCAACCCCTTAAAACTTCTTTCCTTAAAACCTTTTTCTTCTTCCACTCACATTCTTCATCCCACCAATCCTTTTTTACATCTCTTCCTTTTATTTCCTAACTCCTTATCCCTCTCCTTTACCACTTCATTTATCCTTCCCTCTATCCTTCTCCACTTCTTCCTTAACTCCTTTCCTTCTAACTCTAACGTACCCGTCTTCTGCCTAAATATCATTTTTCCCTGCACGTTTCAAACTCCCCTTCCAGTTTCTCTTTCATCTGTTCCTTTCATTTTCTTTTCTATTTCTCCTTTAATACATACTGCTAACGAATGATGATCCGAATCAATCGTCTCCTACCATCATCCTTTCTACTCTTTCCTTTACATCCTTGTCTCCTATCACATAATCAATTATCGTACTATCTTCCCTCCTGTAAATATGAATTCCCCTTCCTCATCCTCTTTTATGCCATTAAAAATACTTCATCCTCTTTCCATTATAAATTCCAATAATTTCCTACCTTCTCTATTTATCTTTCTATCTTTCTTGCCTCCCTTCTTTAATCTCTTCCCCCTTACTTCCTCTTCCTTCACCTCTCCCCTTTCCTTCCCGTTCTCGTATTAAAGTTTCTTCCTATCACAGTTCTGACTCCTATATCCCTTTCTCCCACCCTCTGATCCAGCCTTTGTAATGTCCCCTCTATATCCCCACTCACATACACCCCTACTATCCTCCACTTTTCTCCTCCATTCTTGACTCTCCCCACCATTATCCCTTCCTTTTTCTCCTCTATTCTAGATCCTTCTTCCAACAATTCCTTCCTTATTCCCATTAACATTCCCCTCATTACCCTTCCTCTGCTTCCCTTTCTTCTCGCCATCTGCACTTCCCATTCGAATCCCCATGGCAATCTCTCTCTTATCTTTTCTCATCCTTTGTCTTCCATCCACGTTTCTATTAGAATCACCACATCCCAATCTTCCAACCAGAACCCTTTATCCTTACCTGCTAAACCCGCTACGTTCCAAAAAGCTATCCTCCACGCGCTCCCCGTCTTCCCCCTCCCTCCATTCTTCCTGTCCCTCTTCACTATTTCAACCCACGGTCTTTCTCTCTCTCCTCTTCTCCCCCTCTTCTGTTCTTGTAATTCTCCTCCAGTTCCTCAACACCTCCTCCTCCTCATCCCATTTCCACCATATCTCATCAATATTTATTTTCCTATATCCCACCCACACTTTTCTTCCCTTCCCTTCTTTCATTCTCGCTATCTCCTCTAACCTCCACCTCATTCTTCTCTCCTTTCACGTCCAGTCCTCTATTATTCTCTCCCTCCTACCTCTCAGTTTACCCTTATTTACCAAAATGTCTCTTCCCTATTCTTCGCTACTCAATCTAACCCATAGCGACTCTCTTCCCTTCCCTACATCCCCTCCAATCCTCTTTACTTCCCCTATGTCCACCTTTACACCTATTATTTTCATTAATTGCTCCACCGCTTCCCTTCTCTTCCCTTCTCTAACCTCTATTCCCTTTATTATTATGTTCTTCCTTCTCTTTTCTCTCCTCTCCATCTTCCTTTCTATCTCATTAATCCTACTCTCCACTTCTCCAATTTCCTTCTCTTTTCCTACTTCCCTCCCTCTTTTAACTGCTCTCTCTACCCTTCATACTTCTTTCTAATTCCTGAATTTTCATTCTCTTCAATTCCTCCCTCTTTTTCATCCATCTCTCCTTCTGCTCCCTTAACTCTCTTCTCCAACTCTTCCCTCAACATCTTACCTACCCCTATCTTACTACCCCCAACATCTAACCCTACTCCCTAATTCCTTCATTAACCTCAACCTCCTCCTTCATTAAACTCAACCTCCTCCTTCATTACCTTGATGTCTTCTTTCCAATCCTTTATCTCTTTTATCTCTTTTATCATTTCCTCCAGCTCATTAATATCTCTTCCCAACTTCCTTCCCCTCTGTTGTTCTCCATCCTTATCTCCTCCCCCTCTACCTTTTCCTTCCGCGGTGATCTCACCGTTATATTACTTTTTTTTTAAATTTCCTTCTTCCTCCTCCTCTCCTTTCCTTCCTCTCCCTCTACCCTTTTTCTCTTAAATAAATCCTCTATATTCCCTAAACTCCCTCGTCTCTCTCTAACTCTCGCCGCCATTCTTCCCTCTACAC